CAATGTCAGCCTGTTGAACCCAAGTCTGTAGGGCTTCTGTTACTTGAGGATGTTCAGTCTCATTTCTCCGCTTGATGCCAAGTCCTACACCAGACTCGTAACTATCTCGTAACTTCGATTCATTATGTACCCAACTCGAGACTAGAGGTTGTGTTATGATAACACCAGGAAAACTATTTTCAAAATGTTTTGCTGTCTTGACCTGAACTCGACCATTTTTATTGTGCCAGTCTAACACTAATATACGCTGAGCCAGAGTGGCATTAGTACGAGCAGACTTTGATCGGGTTTTTTTAGAAGAACTCGAGTTTGGTTGATTGGAAGATTCAACACAAGGATCGTCTCGATTTCGCTTCTTGGGACCTGGGTGTTGAACAATACATAGGGATCAGATTTCACCATACATATTGGATGCTTTAGAAGTGTTTGCAAAGAGATATTCACGAGGTTTAGCTACAGATGGGTCCACAAAAACCTTGTGCTCAAACTTATAAATCAAGACCTCTAATGTCTTCAGCTCATCTTTGCTGAAGGTCTTAGCAGCATCAGAGACATTGTTGCTATTTTTTATTTTCTCGAGGACAAGAGCCTCATCAACCATATTTCCAGCGTTATCGATAAAATCTTTGTCTGCCTTTGAAAGCGCCTTCCCTTGGCTCAAAAGGTCTCGTAGTGGACCCATACGTCGATCATTTTCAGATTTCAGCCGATCGAAACCTTCTTGAATATTCGCGAGGGTGAACTTTGTTAGGTCTTTAGGAATCATCTTTATGCGGTGGAGTTTGTGTGTTGATTTGTGTGTTTGTGGGTGTATTGCTGACAAAAGTAAGTTGTACAGTAAGGAATTTCAAACTCTTGTTCACCAGTCTGAATCTACATCACCCAAAAGTATGGGTTTTTCATCGCTGGTTGGCCTCAAAAAAGTATGGTTTATGGGGAATGATGGAGATATGGGTTTTCTGTCAATTTCCCCCGCCCATAAAAAATATGGACGGAAAAAAGCATGGGATATGCGAGAGTATGGCTTATTGGGTATATGGATTTTTGGAGAGACGACTGTAACGTGATAGTTTTATTGGCAGTATCAGTCATTGTAACTTCGGACCTTTCCGAAACGAAGATTACAGGCTATGAGAGAAGAGTGTACAATGATGATTAAAGTTTTAGATCTGTCTGAGAAGTTAACTGAGATTTTCAAAGAACGAAGAAAACGAGATATAGTTTGAATTCAGTCGGTAGATGACGGGCTCATAACCTCTTGAGCTCTGGAGCAGTCAGAGAAATAGACAAAGGAAAGGTATGTAAATTTCACGGACTAAAACAGAGAAGAACTAAGAGAAAGAGAGAAATCCTACCTGGAGCAGTCAGAGAAATAGACAAAGGAAAGGTGAAGAAGAAACACCTTTCCTGGGCTGCTCCAGTAGGATTATATAGTGAAACTTTTACATAACAGTTTTCACATGATGTCACATGTTTTTTGAGCACACATCTAGACTTTATGTATCTCGGGTTAGTCTTGCAGGACTTTTACATACTTGATTTGAAAGTCACGCAGGACTATCCCAACAGAAGATTGACTCTTGCCAAGCAGCAATCCCTCACAAATTTCTTGTCTAAAAATTCTTGGGAACTGTGTATGATACAATATAATACATTTATTTCTTTTTATAGCCGATAATTTTGCTGCAATTTGATTGTTATTGGTTTTCCCAAAGTTTTGACAAAACAAATATGTACTCTGTAAATACCAATGAATTTGGTCCCGATTTTGGATGGATTAAGTGGTTTTCTTGGAGTCTAATGTATTACACTAAGCAATGCTTCAATCTGGTTCAGAGGCACTGCCAAAGATCTAGTGTTTTTCCCCCTTATCATTTGGTTCCTGTATCAAAAGATGACATCCCTGTGCATAAATAAACTCATGGATGACGCCTGGGGAATCTCACAGTCAAAACTTGATGAACACCTTCAAAGATGTTTCCATGCCTATCCACCAAGCTCAGCTCCTTCTCCTTTTTGACACCTTGAGCTTACCATGGGAATGGAAGAAGCAGTTATTGGGTCTCCAGTTGAAAATGATTGGTCACATTGTCAACATTGAAATACAATCAAGACATGAAGGAGACCTATCAAACATTGTACACGGTTCAGGTAGTGTTTAGTATTGGTTGATATTCAATACTTATCTGAATGGTTTTAGTGTTGTTATTCTTAGGTGAGTTGTCAAAAGTGAAGCACTAATGAATGCCAATAACATTGTTGTCAAGAAGTCCCAATGTTTTGCCTTTTGTTTTTATTTTATATGTATAGTTGTTGCCTTGTCTCAATCTAACTGTATTTCCTCATATGTTGGAAAGACAGTGAGTCATCCTTCTTAATATCCTCATAAGCTAATACCTCCTCACTTATATTGTGATAGAACTCCATAAGATCTTCTAGCCACAAGCCTTTGAGCTCAAATGTTTGTTTCTCACGTTTACCTTTACCTCCTGATAATTGGGTACTTTTCTTTCTCTTTTATATCCTGATATCAGCACCAAAATGTTGTGTTTTGTTCATATTCTCTTCATTTGTTGTTTAGTCTTTGGGTTAGTTCTTATAAGGTCTGCATAGCTTGAACTGGAGAAGAGCACTTACAAACAGCACCAGTTAATTAGGTTGGTTAACAGAAATATAACTATCTTTTGAAAAGAGAAACTCCATGAGATCTTTTACCCATGAGCCTTTGAGCTCACATTTATGTTTCTCACTTTTACCTTCAACTCCTGATACTTAGGTCAGTCCCTATAAGGTCTAGAAGAGTGCTTACAGATAGCACTGGTTTATGGGGGCGTTTTGATTCATTTACAGTCAATGTCAAAGCATTCTGCATTGCACTTGCCCCAGAAAGGGAATCTGCACTAGTCATGGTAATAAGGGTCTTTGTCTCTTCTCCCAAGCATTGACTATGGAAGTGCCAAAGCCTCCTTGGGTGGGCCTCTTGGCTGAATTCTTCTCCATTTGGCAGGTTCACCCTTCAATCAGCTTGGGACAAGCTGGTCAACAAGTCCTCACATTTTCCCCCAATTCTTGCCTACCAGAATGTGCAAGCTGACCTTGAGTAGCTTGCTGACAGCATTGAGGCTTATAATGATCAATGGTTCCTTGAGGCTGCTTCTTGGCCATATTGAGGTTGATTCTGGGCCGGTCAAAACGGCTGAAGCTATCACAGATGCTTGCTTCACAGGTTTGCATGTGTGGCTTTGGACCTTGAAGGTCAGGTTCTACACAGCCATGCCGGCCCCTTATATCAGCATCTGTTGGATGGAGCAGCAAGTGGTAGGTTTTGCTGTGGCAATGGCTTGAGGCACTGGAGCCACACAGGTGTTCATCTACATATACTCATTGAATGTAGTTGTCTTATTCCAATTGCACAGCCCAATACTTCTGGTCAGGCTGATTTTCTGTCACATCATCTAGATGATTGTGAATTGCACTGCACACATCAAAGTCTCTCACATCTCTGGTTTTGAAGAATCCCTACACCCACACACTCTCACAGGGTGAATTTTTCAGTCCTTATCTCACCAATACCCCAAGCCCTTAGCTACCTCTCCTGTCTTCCTTTGTCTTAATCGACTGCCATTGAAATTATATTTTGTATTGCAAGGCAGAGATTTGGCCAAATCTGTAACATCTTCAGGTTGTTTGGTGAGGGTTTATGACCAAAAGTGTCACATTATTTAGGAAATCCACTCTGTGGTTTCATTTTTAGAAACCACTCAACATGATGATTCTCATACCATCCAGCTAGTCAAAAGATCTCACCTTGCACCCCAAAGATGGTCCAAGTACGGCCAAATCTCTGCCTCAAAATACAAAATCTAATCTCAATGGCAGTCTATCAAGACACCTTTGTCATATCAAAATTGTCTATGTTGAAATTTATCCAAAGGTGCCAAGTCTGCTATGTTTCAATACACTTGGTTGTTTTGGGGGGCACACAGGTGGATAAAAAGCCAAAGAACAGAAAAAACCAAGTAAAATCTAATGTGCTTTTTTTAACAGCTTGTACATAATCCTAACAATTCAAACCCCCCACTCATGCTAGCATTCAAGTATCCTAACATTACAAAACCTTCAGAGCCAACAAGAATTCCTCCTAAAACCATTAAAATTCTTGACAAAACCTTTAAGCCTCATGAAAAATTCATCTGACAATCCAAGATCATATCACTTTTCAATACAAGAAGAACATCTCCTTCCAAAACAACAAACATATGGAAATTTATCTCCAAAGGAAAAGTCAACCCTATGCTCATTATGAATTGTACCCAGAAAACCTGTAAGAAAACTCACTTCATGGTATGTTTTTTTACAATTCAACTTTTGGATTATTGGATCACCACCACCAAAGTTTGGTTTAACACACACTATCTACTCTTTTCAAGTATCCTCATTAGTTAACACTTTCTATTCTGAATTCTCAAGAATATGAGACCTGAAATCTTCCTATTGCTTCACACTTTTTCAGCTAATTCACAAATTTCATTCTAATTCATTCCAATCTTCCTCATCACCTAGTATCTACACATGTTCTAGTTGCACCTCTCCTTGTAGATCTGAGAAACTGAGCCCATCAGTCCACGAATGTTTATCAGAGCATCAGAGTATTAAATTACATGTTCATCAAGTTTTTTTGTGTTTAACTCTACAAATCCCTAAATTGTGAATAAATCACTTTCAAATCTTCTCGATCTTTTTCAATCATCTTAAACTACCTTTGATATCTCATAATTGTACTTTTTTTGTTGATACTGATCATCTCTTGTTCTCAAATGGATTCTGTTTCTAACACATAGAAACATCCAACAAATCCAAACCATCAAAAACAAAAAGGTAACCTTCACCTTCACAAAGACTTCACCCAAAACATACCCCTCATAGCAAAAATCCAAATCCAAAGCTCAAACTTTTTCTCACATTCTCCAAAAAAATATATTTGATCGTAGTTTGCATCTCAGAAAAAAAAACCATCTTTTCAAATCTTACAAAACATATCAAGAAACACATAATTTCATCAAAATTCATAAACCACTAAGAAAAACCTTAACCCACTAAAAACTTCATCAACTCAAACCAACAAATAGAAACTGAGAAAAAAAATGAGTCAAATAGAAACTGAGATAAAAAATGAGACAAAGAAAAACTGAAATGAAGAAATGTTTTTAAATAAAACAAAACTGTGAACCAAACCCTACAACAAGTGTCCCACCCACACCACAAAAAAAACAATCCTACAGTAAGACCTACACCCAACCTTAAACCTACACCCAAACTTAACCTACACCTTTCTCATCCCGCAATCCCTTATACCAAACAAAAACCCAAAATCCGATTCTGACCGCAATTCAATCCATACCCAAACTCATTCTGAACTCATTTTACTCCTACACTTTTCCATACCCCCTATCACAGCCTTCGACCCACAAATCAATCTATAATTTGATCTTAGATTTATTTATTTCACCTCTTGCTTCATCATACAACTTCTTAATCACATTCCCAAACTTTTCCTTAGCGACATTCCTACGAAAAAAAAATCACGAAAACCCCAAAACATCAATAAAAAAGACTCCGTTAAAAGAGTAAAAAAAAACGAAATCAGTGAAAAAAAAACCAAATCAACAAACCTTTTTAATTTCAGTGTAGGAGTCAATAAATCATTTTCAGTCGTAAACGGTTCTAAAGTTAAATAGATTTGTTTAACTTTTTCAAATCCCAACAACTTTTCCGAAACCGATAAATTCAATTCTTTCAAAAACCTTTCAATGACCTTCTTATCTTCACATGCTGATTTCATCTCTGATTCACCCTCAATAGGTTTTCCCAATACTTTACTAGCAAATGCTAAACCACCCAAAAACAAAAACCCACATTCACCATCAATTTCGTGACTTCCTCTTCTTCGGTTTTGGGAAAATGGAAAACTTACGACCAAAAGTGATTGGATCAGGTACAATGACCGCAATCAAATGAGATTCCAATGAATCACCATGAACAAAGATTTGAGCAATCAGATTGTTAAGTGAATAAGTCCCTTCAACCTTTTCTAATGCAACATATTCTCCTTGCGATAGTTTCAATAAGTTTTTAATTCGATCGATAATCTTTAATCTACCTTTTTCATCTACTAATCCAATATCACCTGAATGTTGCCATCCTTCTGAATCAATCAATTCTTTAGTTTTCGTTTCATCATTCAACTTTCAAACAAAACCAAAAAGAATCATTATTATTTTGGGTACTAAATTATAGACGATGATGAAATGCTTACGTATCCAGGAATACAAACTTCTCCTCTTACACAAATCTCACCACGTGGATAAGGTTTATCAGTAGAAAAATACTAATAGACCCAAAAAAGAATCCAAAGATCAGATCAACAAATTCTAAGAATAATTAAAGAGAACAGGATTGATTTACCTTCATATCAGGTACATCCACCAATTTAAATTCCACACCCACTTGTGGTGCTCCAACAGTTCCAGCAGGTTCAGGATCATCAGCCCAACACCTAGTAGTCGTGCCCGTGTTCTCAGTCTAAACCCCAGCGCACCCCCCAAAAACAAAAAACCCAACCGTCAACACTTCCTCTCAACAAAAAACCAAAAAGTTTGAAAAAAAAAGATAACATACAGCCCCATAACCTTCAATAACATCAGTCACAAAAGCCACTTTAAGAAACTCCAAGACTTCAGGAGCAATAGGAGCCGAACCACTCGCAATCAATTTAACTCGACCACCTAAAGCTTCTTTAACTTTACTAAAGACGATTCGATCCCAAAAAGGATGATAAATCGATCCTGTTGATCTTAATCGATCTAATTTACTTGCTAAAGCTTTTCGGGCCAAGAACCCTTTAAAACCAGGTTGATCTAGTTGTGCATTTACTGCTTGATAGATTCGGTTCAAAACTCTTGGTACACTGTGAAAAATCGAAACATACAAAGCAGGTTTGGTTAGGATTGGTTTGGCCAAAATTGGGATGCAAGAACCACTTACCTAACAAATCGAGTGGGTTTAGCGATCTTGATGTCTTCTAATAATCTCAAATTATCACCACAAGCAAAAGCAATAGGTTGACCAATAGCTAAAACGAAATCAAATCTCGATCTCAGCATCTATAATATTTAAGAAATTCAAAAAGAAAGAAAAAAACTGACCAAAACAAGTAGATTGTAAAAACCTTTCAAAGATATGACTTAAAGGTAAATAAGACAGATACATCTCTTCAACGCCCACAAATGTATTGCCATGTAAGTTAGAAACAGCTGAAGCAGCCATTGAACGATGTAATAAGATAGCTCCTTTTGGTAAACCAGTGGTACCAGAAGTATAACAAATCGACATTGTAGTGGAAGGACTTGGTGGAATATGTGCCGATGGGTTTTCTCTACCGATAGCTTCAACTAAAAAAAAAAACTCTCATTAGTGATTCATTCTCATAATCAAATCGGCAAATGAAAGTCACAAACGTTCAGAGATATCGAGCACGAGAATATCAAGTTGTTTTCCCCACTGTTTCAAAGCATTCTTCCTATCCCCAATCGATCCAGATTTAGGCTTCGGTAGAGGTTCCAAAGAATCCCAAGGATCAGCCGACACAATGACTTTTAAAGCAGGATATGCCGTCGCATTGGTCAAGAGGTTAGGAATATGAACTGCCGAAGCCATAACTAATCTTGTATCTGAATGATTGATACAATATTCTACAATCTGAGGTCCTAGTGTTTCATAAAGTGATACGACCACTAAAGAATAAGCTGCACAAGCTTGATAACAAACTTGCCATTCTATCGAAACCCCCCACCACCACCAAAAAAACACACTCAAATCAGTCATTTGTTTTGGTTTGATATTGGTTTACTGATTTATGAAAAGAAAGGGGAAAACACACCAGGTCGGTTTTGAGTCCAGATACCTACGGTCCAACCTGACAAATCACCTGATCCAAGTAATCCATCTTTCCTTAACTTGATCAATCCACTACCAAACTCAGTTCGACGTTTATCAATCTCAGCATAAGTTTGCCAAACGAAATATGGTTCAAAGTCTCCAGTTGTCGGATTGATCGGTCGATGTCCTAAACAAGGTTTATCGAATCCTACCCCTAATCCATGATTAAATGATTCATCTATTGAATTTGAAGTAGAAAGAAGTTAGGGTTTTTGCGGGTTTGATTGATCGAATTCAAGATTTGGTTCGAACTTACATTCTGTTTTTGGAAAGTTTTTGCCTGGTTCTTCTACCGTAGTGAAATCAGGAAACAATGCATTACGAAAATGACCCGTTTGACCCGGTTTACGACTACCTGGCACTTCCTGTATCCAATCCCAAAGAAGAGTGATTTCCAAGATCAGTGAAACAGAATGGATTGCAAAAGAGAAGAATAGACTAACGATAGCTTGTTTGTTGAGATCTAAAGGTTTACTGATCAGAACTGGTAATGGACTGTTGGTGACTGCATAAGGTGGTAAGGATGACATTGCGATTTGTTTTTAGGATTGAAAGATGATTGAGAAGAAGTGAAGAGTTGAGATGGATTGAGTTGTTTTATATATGCTGATGATTGGTAGTAGTAGTTTGTGAATAGGAGATGAGTTGATTGGTTGATCTCTCACCAAGAAACCAAGAAAGGCTGATCTCTCTTTATCTCTCTCTCTCTCTCTCTTTGTATCTTGCAACATGTCACCAACTCAGTCACACCCTTCACCGAATCTTTCAAGGATCGGAAACTGATCAGATCATGATGGTCTCGATGACTCATCTTCAATTCAATTCTCTCTTCTCCACTCTACCAAAGTCTTTTACATAAACCATCGCAGCATTCAAGTTTGACTTGGGATGCTTATGTAAGAGAGAAGTTCTAACATATTTCATCAAATCATCAATATTGAAACCAAACTCAAACCATCGATCAAGTTTTACTGGAAAGCATTTTTTACAATAAAACTTGATTCACTCAAGAACATGTGGTTTTTTTTATCAAATAAGCTTTACGTATCATTGAGAATGAGATCCAGAAAATTACTCAATGGGGTTTCATTTGATTCAAATACCAAACACTCTTTTGAAGACCTACGTCACCAGGGGGTAAAAGTTACTGCCCCAAAACTGAAAATGAAATGTTTCAAAAACGTCTCATTTTCAAATTTATTGGAAACCATTCTGTGACGGTTTCAGAGAGGTCGTAAACCAATACAATCCCATCACAGAACCATCACGTCGCAGCAAACCGCAGTGGTGCGGTCTCTTGAGAGCATGGTGGCCCTGGGCTACAACTCGGGGTTTCAAATCGACCACACTTGGGGTTTGTTTGGGGTCATCAAATCGACCACATTTCATTTCGGGGGTTTTGGGGGTCATCTCTACTTTGTCCAAACTGCTATTCTTTGTCCAAACACAAAATGTTGAATCTAAATTACTATGAAATCTCATTACTAATACTTAATCAATCCAAAGCCAGTGCTTATCTAGTTTTGTTTATTTTCTTGAAGTACGTAACCTAATGAATGAAAATGCTCCGGTTTTGACAGCAAATCTCTTGGGTTTTTTGCTTTGGTTCCAATGACGGTCAGGGTCTCCATTGTGTAGGAACTTCTATCGGAGCTTTTCAGGGTGGCTGAGAAGTATTTGAGGGAACCCGGAAAGCCGGTCTTGGCTCTTTGGAAGTGGTTTGATAATCTATTTGGACAATCCGGGTACTTTTGGATCCGAGTTGGCGCTGTGTTTGATTCAATCGGTTATTCTTTGGCCCGGTGACCGGTGACCGGTGACCACTGAATTGCAATTTGCGAATGGCCTTGTGCCGCATACATAACGAATAACGATTTCTCAAGCTGATCATCAAAACCAAACTAAAACTCAAATCATGACCACTCATCAACCCATTCGAGTTGGACTTCCACTTCAAGATTATCAAAAATTACAATCCAATCAACTCACTCAACAGAATATTCGAGTTGGCAAACGAGACTTACGAGGAGTTTATTGGATATCATTCTTGATTATCTTACTTTTGATTCTAAAGCATCAACACACGAATCATTTTGAAAGGAGGATAAATCAGTTTGAAAGTTTACATGGGTATTTCATTCAATCTGATCTTAAAACAAATCCAATCGATTTCAATGTAGTTGAGTCATCTTCAATTCACATACAAGTTAACGAAGTTTAATCTTTTTTTTGAAGTACGGGGTTGATTCTTTTTTTGGGTTAGTTGATAAAACCGATCGAGATTCTTGGAAAAAGTTTGATGAAAGGATCAAAAGACTTAATTCTAAAGTTTTTATTGAAACATTAAGAACGATGTTTGAAAGTTTTGAAAGATTTTAATGAAACGGTTTGTTTGATTTTTGGATTAGTTCAAAAGATCTTTATAAAGGTATTTTGAATCCATTGTTTCATTTCATCACATTCGAAAACCATTCACGAGATTCGAACCTGACGTTTTGGATTTGTATTGTGTTTTTTCCAGTGATTTTTATTGCAAGACATGGTGAAGGTTTTCATAATATTGCTGAATCTAAATACGGAACTCCAATGTGGGATTGTTATTGGTAAATAAGATTCTATTCAAAAATTCGCCACAATCAACCAACCTACTGATCTCTTTTTTGTTCTAGGTCAGAATTAAATGGTGATCAAAACTTGACATGGGTAAACGGAACTTCAAACTTGGAACTTTCTCTAGTTTTCAACAATACTGATGAAGCTTCTGATGTGGAATAGGGACCAGATTCAAGGTTAAGTCCTAAAGGTCAAAACCAAATCAAATTAGCTAGAGAGTCGTGGAAACGAGAGATTTCAAGATCAATACCTTTACCTTCACTTTTTATTACATCACCATTAAGGTCAATTAACAACCAATTCGGCCTGTTCTTTAAAAATGATTTTTTAAAACTTGAACAAATGTGATTTTTAGTCGAGCGATTGAAACGTTGGAAATCACAAGTGTTTGGAACGTTTCGAAGAATACTGTACCTGAGGTTAGAGAAGGATGGAGAGAAAATATAGGTACGTTTTGGAAATTTTCTCGTCTTTTGTAGTAGAAAGTCATGTACTGACCTTTTTTCCGGTGGAATTGAATGTCTTTGATTTGATTGAATGAATGAATGGATTCTTTTTGATAGGTTTACATACTTGTGATTTAAGGAGGACTCGTGAAGAAATCTATAAAGATTTTGGATTTGTGGAATTTGAAAATCGGTTTAATGAAACTGATGAATTATGGACCAAAGATTTTCAAGTTGGTTATTAACATTTCTTTTCCTTTCAAAAAGAAAAAGGATTTTGATTTCTTTTTCTCTTTCTCTAGGAAACTAGTGAACAACTCGATATAAGAATTCGAAAATCACTTGAAACTTTATTTAATGATCCAAATGATCAAAAACATACTTGTAAGTTCTTAGACTCAACTTTATAGAATTCAAAACAATAATCAAACAATCAAGCACAACAAAATCTAACAATCGTTTCTTTTTTTGGGGGTGGGGTGGGGGTACAGATGTTTCTATTACGTGTCATTCTGGAGTGATTAATTCGTTGTTACGCGTGATTGGTCATCGACCATTTCCAACTCAAGTGAGTCTTTATCGTTTTGCTTATTCATTCTTTTTGAAAAGATAATCAACCGTCTTTTTCTCAGATTTTAATGGATTCGTTTTGATTTTTTCTTTGCGAAATGCAGACTGGAGGAATGATACCTTTGGTGATCAAAGGTAGTGTAAATCCTACACCGACTAGACCTCCTTTACCTGGTCCTAGTGCTACTAAGCCCGATTGTCCTATTGATTCTTCATCGAGTAATTGAAGAATAGGTTTTTTTTGGATTTCGATTAATTTTTGTTTTTTTGTTTTTGTACTTGGAGAATCGGATCTGCAAAGTGTTAAGTTTTTTAAATTACAAGTTGTAATGATTGTTTATGATAGCATTACAATAAGATATAAATTTCCAATTATTATCAGAATCTTTGAGATTATAAGTCTTCAACAAACAATTTAACAAACAAGATTGATTGGTATAAGAAAGAGAACTTTAAACTCATCCATTGTACTTAAACTCATCCATTGTACTTTTTTTTGAATTTCAAAGATTTAAAGAATCCAAATTGAGAAAGAAACAGTTTGAAAGAAAGAATTCCATTACTTTTAAGAAAAGAGAATTGGTAATTTTTGGTTGTTGAAATCGAAGAAAATCATAGGAAAAAAGTAGCATCAATTTCAAGTAGCTACAATAAAGCCAATACTAGTTCTAGCAGTATTGGCTTGTACAGTTGAATTAGTAGAATCGTTTGTAATTAAATTTTGAGCTTGAGATTTTTGTAGTTTTCGATTGTAAGCTTCTCTTCGATTGATCAAATCGTTTCGAACGGTTAAAGTGTTACAATCTACATTTGAAATCCCATCTTCTTCATTCAAATGATAAAACCCACCACAGATCAAACACTCATCTAAATACCTCATCGTGACGGGCCACATCTCAGGTCTAGGAACTCCTGCATTATCCCAACCTTGAATAACAACCTTCATTGTTTTTTCTAAATCCCATTTATGTAAAAAAGATGAATCTATTGACATATGACATAAAACATCATTTGTTTGAGCGTTGCCTACTGTATATCTTTGTTTAACTTTGACTGATTTGATACCTAATTCTCGATTTTGGGCTGTGATAGCTTCATATAAATAATGATTTAAATCAATCTTGGTAGAATCATGAAATGGAATACCCATCAAAACAATTGGGATTTCAACCGGTTCGATATCTCCTTGATGATCTGTAAATAAATTTGATAAAGAAGTGATGATAAATTCGATTTCAGGAGGAGCTTGGTATTCGACTTTTTCAACTTTATCTTCTTCTTCTGATGATGATTTGTTTGAATCAATTGAATTTCCCATAAAATAACCTCTGGAATAGTTTAAGGATTTTTGATCATTTAGGTTTAGTAAAGATTGATTGTCTTCGAATTTGACCATCCATTCTCCTCTACTCCAACCTAAATCCAATGCCACAATTTCTTTAACATTTATTAAGTTTTCTTGAAAGATTTTGATAACGATGTCTAACGCATTTTGAGGCGGGTTTCCTAAGACTCGGATGTTGTACCAGTTATGATGCTCGTACGGTTTACTACATGTTAATAAAGCCTTCATGTACTGAGAGCACCATAGAGTGGTGATTGGTCTAAGTTGGAAATTAGAACCTTCGGTGTCTACTTTTCGTTTTTTGGATGGTTTTTTGATTTTAGGTTCTGAGGGCGCTTCACTGGATTCTTTGGTTTCCTTGATGGGTTGGAAAAACAAGAGTCTTGTTAGTTTTGTTGAATAATCAAGAGTGTATAGATCAAGTCCACTTACTCGTTTTTTCACCATTTGAGAATTTTAAGAAACTTGTGAAGGTGATTTGATTTCGGATATAACGTAAAGGTCCTTAGTCGTGCTGAATCGTGGGTGAGTTCCAAGTGAATGAGATGGGTATCTGTTTTATGAAGAGTCGTTGTGTTTTGAGATCGAAGTGGATCAAGTAAAAAATTCAAACGAACATTCACATTCACAGAAAGATGTCACAACAGCTTCAGATGACTGTCACACTCATTACATCTCTACTCGATCAAGATCCAGTCAACTACCAACTCTGAAGAGAGTGTAGACTGTATGCATCGCAATGGCTCATCCAGTCACGTAAGTCTTTCTTCTGATTATCTCTGAGAACTCTACAAACCATCAAAACTAATCAGTCATTCTTTTTAGGATTTCAACATGTTCGTTAAACCAATGGGCTGTAAGTTAAACTTTAGAAAGTAAAAGATAGGAAGGAGATCTCGAAAAACTGATTTGATTAACCCATTAGCTTGACTTTGAAGGAAATCATAATCGGATCTTGGAATCTATTCGAATTGCTAAAGCGGCTCAATCTAGATTAAGAATCGGACCTGAACTTGAAATCCCGTTCGTAAATTTATGAATTTCGAAACTTAACGGAAAGAATCTTGACTGAAGGAAATTGGTGTTTGGATCGGAATCTACTTAGTGGATATGGATGTTTTGATCATTTCTTAGAAAGTAAGTTTCATGATTTCTTTTGTGTTGACCGATTTCTTAAAGTCTAACTTGATCATTTGGATTACGCTTGGTTTCGTTTTCTAGGTGATACAGTTACTCATTCTTGGGAAGTTCTTGCAAAACTACTGGTTCATCCGGATACACTTGAAATACTATGTGATGTAGGAATGTAAACGCATCCATTCTGATTTTTTCGTTTCATCTTTCAAGAATTGAATCGGACTGATTTTGATTTTTGATTTTGATGGGGATGGTGATGTTTTATAGGCCAGTGATGCATAAAAACGTTTTATATAACTGTAGAATACTTTTCTTTAACTCGAAAATCGTACTGGTAAGACCTAAGATGTGGATGGCAAATGATGGAAATTATAGGTAAGCATCTTTTTTTCCCTCATAGATTTCGATTTTGTGGGGAAGCAAGTTAAAAAACATTTAACCATGCGAAGCAAACTGAAATCAATTGGATTGTACTAATCAAATGAATTTGTTTTTATAGAGAATTACGTTATTTTAGTCCTTGGGCTGAAACTAGAAAAGTTGAAGAATTCGTTTTACCAAAGTTCATTAGATTATTGACTGGTCAAGTTGAGTAAACAAATGAGTTTCATTTATCTCAAGCAATAAAGAAAGGCTAACAAACACCATACTTTGAACCTGAAATTGATTTTGTGATTCTGGTTACATAGACTACTGTTCCGATTGGTAATGCGATTGTGATGACAGAAGATAGTTCGATCGGAATTGAATCATGTGAAGAGCTTTTTACACCTAACTCGTTCGTTCTTCAATCTATTCGAAATAATTTTTTGCTCGATCAAAGCTCTGATGTACACTTTTTGATGTTTTTTTGAATAGACCTCATATTGGAATGAGTCTTGAAGGAGTTGAAATCATTTTGAATTCTTCGGCTTCTCATCATGAATTAAGGAAATTACATACTCGTATAGATTTAATTAAAGAAGCTACACTAAAGGTAAAGGTTTTTTTTTCAATTGAGACTGAAATATCTAACAAACCGATTCCTAAACTAACACTCTTCTTTATTTGATTAAATTAGTCCGGAGGAGCATACGTTTATGCAAACCAAAAAGGATGTGATGGTGATAGATTATACTATGATGGTTGTTCTTTGATTTCTTTAAATGGTCAAATCATCTCACAAGGATCTCAATTCTCTTTACAAGATATCGAAGTGGTTACTACTACTATTGATCTTCAACTAATCAGATCTCATCGAATTAATAAAAACTCTAGATCTTCTCAAGCTTCTAGATCTTTTGAACATCATCAATTTGATAGGGTTTGGGTTAATATGGAACTTGGTAGTTTCGATCCTAATGTAAAGGTTGGTAATGAAAATGAAGTTAGGTATCATACTCCTGAAGAAGAAATTGCGTAAGTGACTTTTTTGTCTTCGACTTGTTGAAAAGGAAAAAAAACATCAAAATTGGTTCGAGGGTGAAAGATTAATTTGATTTCTTTTTTGGCTAGACTTGGACCTGCTTGTTGGTTATGGGATTATTTAAGAAGAAGTGGAATGAGAGGGTTTTTTGTACCATTGAGTGGTGGAATTGATAGTTGTGCAACTTCGATGATCGTCTATTCGATGTGTTTATTAGTCACCAGAGAAGCAAGGTTAGGAAGTTGAGTTTTGTTTTTGGTATCTTTTTTTCTTTACATTGATTCTTGATTTGTTGAAAGCTAATTAAAGAATATGATGGGGTTTCTTTGTAGATCAACAAATGATTGAAGATGCTAGAAGGATTGTAGGAGGATCAAAAGATTATATTCCATTAGATTCAAAAGAGTTTTGTAATAGGATCTTTCATACTTGTTATATGGGTACCGAAAACTCAAGTCCTGAAACACGTAAAAGAGCAAAAGATTTAGCTTTAGATATTGGAGCGTATGTAACCTCAATATTCTCATCATTTAAAAAGTAAATTGATTATTGATTTTTGATGTTTGGGTTTGGTTTGCTTTTTCCGATAGGTATCATTTGGATTTACATATGGATACAGTTGTGACTGCTATTTTGTTTCTTTTTACTTTAGTGACTCTTCGTACACCACTTTTCAAAATCAATGGTGGTACTTCAACTGAAAATCTAGCGTTGCAAAACATTCAAGTCAGTATGATCTGTATCCAAACTATCCAAATCTTTATTGATGTGAGATGGTTTATTCGGTTTGTTTTGTAGGCTAGATTGAGGATGTTATTGAGTTATATGTTTGCTCAACTTTTGCCTTGGGTTAGAGGTCTTGATGGTGGTTTGTTGGTCTTAGGTAGTGCGAATGTAGATGAAAGGTGAGTTTTGATTCAATTGTAGTTCAACTAGATAATTTGCGAGACTGATACATTCTTTTTGCGGGCATGATTTAGTTTAAGAGGTTATATGACTAAATATGATTGTTCAAGTGCTGATATCAATCCGATTGGTGGGATTAGTAAAACTGATTTAAAGAGGTTTATTGGATTCGCTGAAAAGAAATTCGAATTACCAATTTTAAATCAGTTGAGTGGGATAATTTTCTGAAAAAATCGATTACTTCTTGTTGATCTCTGGTATATTGAGATTTTAACAAGTATTGAATGCAATCTTTGGTTTTTCCTTTGGTTTTTGTAGGTTTTTGGATGCTGTACCTACTGCTGAATTAGAACCCATCACAGAAAACTATGTTCAATCAGATGAAGTAAGCTAAAAAGAAGATTCTGTCTGAGACTTTATTGACTGCGAAAAAAAACGATTTTCTCATTTTGATTTTGATTTGGTATTTTATAGGTTGATATGGGAATGACTTATGATGAATTATCAATTTATGGAAGGCTAAGAAAAATTGAAAAATGTGGACCATTTAGTATGTTTAACAGATTGATACAAGAATGGGGTACGATTCTTAGTCCAAATGAAGTTAGTACAATCTTTTTTAAATTTCCTTTCTTTTTTCTTGAAGATTTGGATTTACTTTCATCGTCTATTGAAATTCATGTATTCCCTTTTCATTAGATTGCGGAAAAAGTTAAATTCTTTTTTAGTCAATATGCTAAAAATCGTCATAAGATGACGACTTTAACTCCAAGTTATCATGCTGAAACTTATTCACCTGGTCAGTACTTTAATCATTATTTTTTCATTCAGTTTTTCTTTGATTATAAAACAAAAATTCAAACTGATTCATTTTTTTTTGTTTTATAAATTCTAGATGACAATCGATTTGATTTAAGACCATTTCTTTATCCAGTTAAGTTTGATTGGCAATTTAAAGCAATTGATAGATTAGCTTCAGAAATCCCAGATGAAAGTTTGAAATTGAAAGATAAAGTAGAATGAATTTCCAGTACGATTTTGTCTCTTCTTCATTTTTAGTTTTGAAGTGTAACTGTAAAAAAACTCGAGTGAAATGAATGATGTATTTTTTGCTTGGCAACACAAGGATAAAAGTTGTTGTGAGAGTCAATTGTACACTGAGGTCATAGTACTTGCTGGCTCTTACGAGTAGTTTCAGGTTCTCCTGAGCAACCAAAAGATGCAACCTTATCATTGATCATACGCACAAACTCTTATTCTATAATTACAAGATGATATATGGTTGAATTCCTAAAGAACAAGTTTTCAACATTTCCAATGACTGGTATAGTAACTTTGTTAAGTTATCCTACATTGACTAGAAATCCGGAAGAAGAAGATTTGATCAATAATTGATCAATCAAACACCCTTTTCCGTGAAAAGCAAGCCAAAAAACTCAACTATCATTTAAAGCAACAGCCACGCAAGGTTTGGAATGACCAGTATATTGTCTTACAGCTTGAGCTGAAGCAAGTTCCCAAAGTCTAGCAGAATGATCCGAAGAAGCTGATACAAGATAAGCTGAATCAGCTGAAAAAGCTAAATCCCAAACCCAACGTTGATGACCATAGAGGGTTTTATCGAGGATAGGTGGACCTGTTGGTGATAGAGTCCAAATCTTGATGGTTGTGTCGGCTGAACATGTGGCAAGTTGACTGTGTTATAGAAAGGTTAATAAGTTATGCTGTCATGAATATTCAAAGTGAAATGCGTAGATGATACTGACCGAACGTCGGGGCTGAGAAGAACTTTGAGACAATAGCGCTTATGGGCCTCAAAAGTCGCTTGAGCTTGTAAATCAGTATAACTCCCACCATTGGCAGTTGAAATATTCCAAACAAACACATTTCCCTAGAAAAAGCGAGTCAAGTGGGATAGGGGGTAAGGATTTAAAGAGGGACTCTCAAGCTCATTCATACATTCATACATCGATCTATATACTCACAAATTTCTAGATACGTACCGAATTATTACCCGCTACTAGACAACTATTATCGCTTGCTATGGTCACACTTCGTTGTGGCACATCCTCCTCGGGAAACTATGGAAGATGATGAATTTAAGTCTTGGAAACGATGTTGGGAAAATAATGAAGGTTTTTTTTGCTGACCAATTCGTGGGTACATGAGTCAGCGGCTAGGTCCCAGATTTTGATTGCACCAGATTGATCGCACGAGATGATTTCGCCTTGGTTGGGATGAATCGCAATGTCTGAGGAAAAAGGTTCTGTGTGAGTAGCTCTTCAGATGAAGTAGGGCGATGAGAAAAGAAGTCTGACCATTGACAGCACACTTGTGATCGTACTAGAAAATAGTTGAGTAGACAGAAATGGAGATATGAGGATCAGTTCGAAGATAGGTAGATGCCAAAGAGGCATGTATCCGATGCTCACTGTACGTTGGGCAACGGGAGTGCTACCGAGGGCTGGGGTTTGATCAGCGAATGAAGACAGCAAATAGGATAAAATGTAGTGAGGACGAACCGATTGTCCCAAATTCTCATCGCACCATCTTCACTACCAGTCACAAACCATTGACACTCCTTCGGCCAGGCCACAGATGTCACATTTGCATTATGAGGGAAGCTTTGTAACTAAAGTCGTAAGAGTTGCGTTGAGTACAGTCAGATTACGCTTCGGATACAGGAGAAGGACTCCAGAGATGAAAAGCGCACTAGTCCAGCTTGAGCTTGAGCTTGTTGTTGCTGTTGAGGTGTTCGATCCGATGGAGGTGGGCCATGGTGAGCAGGAGGAGGATGAGAAGATGTGGCAATAGCAATATCGTATAGCCTAACGTGAGCATTACCAGCAACGGCTAGATAACGCTTATCAGGAGAGATAGCAAGTCGATTGATTTGCTTCATCAAGCACAAAATCGATTGACATTAGCCTTGGGCAGTTTTTAAGATGTATAAGGCGAAACCACGTCCGATTGACTTACACTCTGAGGATGATTGATAGATTTGACACAATGACCTGACCAAGCTTCCCAAAATCGAATAGTATTATCATAACCACCAGTAGCTAAGATTACGTCCAATGGATCAGAAGTTTGAGATGAATCGAATCCAGACATCCTACTGAGATTTTGATTTGGTCGATCGAATGAGAATAACTTGAATTCTAAACAAATCGCGAAACTACTGAGCTGCTAAACCAAGGAGACATTGGAAATTAAATCGACGCTAGAAAAGATCCGCTATGAGTACTCAGTGCGGACATGTGCGAGGCAAGTGCCGTACTCGCACCTAAGACCTGCACCCGGCCCGGCCCGGCCGGGCTTTTCCCGCTCCGCTGTGTGCCCGCGTGAAGCTCGGGCGGGCCACGGGCAGCCCGGTGTTTTTCACTAAAAAGAAAAAGAAAAAGAAAAAAAAACTCAATTGAACGAAGAATATCCCCGTTTTCCTTCCACCCAATACATACCTTCAATATCATAAAGTGCGCCGTTACGATGGGCTCAACCAGGAAGAGGGGCTCCAACACCAGCCCTCCCTCCTTGAAAAGCAAACAACCTCGTCTTCCGATTACGAAAGAACGTCCGTCAACCTCACAAACAACAATTACTTTATCGGGAGAAGAATCCGATGCCCGTGATTCCTCTATCAAAGTCAACATAAAGTCTACCAGCGCCAATCAATCCAACGTAAGTAGTCAAATTAGCTCTAGAACCGGCACTAAAACTTTGTGGGTGTGGAGATATTTCAAGGAAGAATCTTTCATCAATCCACTCACCCAGGAAGACGAGCACAGGACAATTTGCACATACGTACTCGAGTCTGGTAAGGAGTGCGGAAGTAGTTATAAAGTCGATTCAACTCACAGTACGAAGTCCATGAGTCAACATCTACTCAAGCACGGCCTTGACAAAGATTCCCACGTTGAAGAAGGTGCAGTCAACATGCACAAGTACCTTACATCTGGCAGAATCACTCCGGTAAGTGCCTCAAACAACCTTGACAAGTTTTTTTCCCACCTAATGTCATTCTCCATTTCTTCTACTTAGAACGATAAGCTCTCAAATTCAAGCTTCCGGTCTGCTATCTTGCGTCTCATCGTCAATGAAGAACTTCCATTCTCGCTAGTCGAATCCGAGGACTTACGGAACGCTTTCTTGCTAGTCAATCCAAACATTCGCCCGTATTTATTTGGTCATACTACCCTGACCAATACCCTCAAGGCTCAATTTATCAAAGGTCAATGATTACTTACCCATTGCCTCAAGGACATTCCTTACATCAATTTTACTTGTGACGGCTGGAGTCAACATAACAAATCCATTTTAGGAGTCACTGCTCACTGGGTATCAAAAGATTACAACTTATGTGAAGCAATAATTGCTATGAAGTTGATTGAAGGCCAGCATACTGGCGAGAATCTGGCCAAACACCTTCTCAAAACTTTGAAATCTTATGATTTAGTCAATAAAGTTTTTTGTCTCACTGCTGATAATGCGTCTGTCAATGCTGTAATGGGAAGACATTTGGAAGCAGCAATTCCTCAATTCAAGGCTGATCAAAACCTCCTTGGATGTATGGCACACATCATTAACCTAGTTGCTAAAGCTGGCCTTCATGTTTTCTCAGAGAAATTAGGCGACAAAACCCCCTCAATCCCTCCTGCGCTTGCTGCTTGGCTACATCAAGACACCGAACGAATCTCTAGCCCTTTAACTCGTCTCATTGGTTATACAAACTATGTCGAAGCTTCACCACAACATGTGGAGTCATTTTCCCTCCTTGTTAAGGGAATGCTCCCAGAAAAGGATCATGTTCAACTTATCCGACGGGTCGACACACATTGAAACTCTGATTTCTTAGCTCACGAGTGATCTTATTGACTTAGGGCTGCCATTGATTATCGCACCAAGAACAATCGAGATTATGCCAAGTTTGCTCTTACTGAAGGCGAATGGGATTTGGTTGCCCATCTCATTGCCTTTCTTGCTCCACTTAACACAGCAACCAATACACTATCAGGTTCTCATTACCCAACCACTGCCGACGCCGCACCAGTTTATCAATGGATCTTGGAAAAATTGGACAAGGTTTGTGTTCAAAACTTTTCAATACCTTTTTACACATTGCTTACAGAAGATGTTCCACAGGCCTGGCAAGGCAACACGGACAAACCCCTTTGAGCTGCAATTGGTCCTATGAGGATCAAGCTCCAGGAATACCATCAAGCGGCACTCAATAAACCTGTCTATCTGTTTGCCAACATTCTCGATCCTCAAAGCAAACTTCTCAAATTATCAACAGCAACAATCGAGATGGCTGGTCTGTACGAACGACAAGAATTGCGATCAAAATTTATCAAGGAGGCTTCCAAGTTTCAGCCAGAACAGTCCGAGAATGTTGAAGTTCTTCCTGAACCAGAACTCGAGGAAGATGGTCCACGTCGTTTTGTCTCATGTAAAAAAAACTCACGGTTGAAGAAGAAGTTGAGATGTATTTATCCACTGGACGTGCATATGAGTCAAGCACGGATTCACAAAATACGTAAGTAACGGTTTTGTGATCATAGACGATGAAGGCTTCGAACAGATGATCTTCATTTACACAACACACGCAAAAACATAGCAAACAGAAAAGAAACCAAAAGGAGAAAACAGAGCAAGAAAACATAAAACCTACCTATGAGTCAAGCACGGATTCACAAAATACGTAAGTAACGGTTTTGTGATCATAGACGATGAAGGCTTCGAACAGATGATGTTCTAGCCAAGTGCTGAATCATAGGAGTCTTTATAGACTAGGACACACTAGAAGTGAGAGAGTTAAAAACACGCACAAGTTAGACATTATGAAATAAAAGAGAAACATATCCAATGATCCGTAGTACATATTCAAAATGTGGATCAAGAACAATCACTTCAAACAACAAATCAAATACCCAACACGTAATGAATAACTAACAGTGCAGACGGCAGTGTTGTTCCTTTGGAGTATTGGGCTCTTCACACACCTGAATTTCCCATCTTGGCAAAGATGGCTTCAGCTTACTTGTCTATCCCTGTTACCAGTACACCCTCCAAACAATCTTTTTCTGCTGGTGGGAGAGTATGGACTGATGAACGGGCCACTATTGATGAATTGAATTTCAAGGCTTCCATTTGCCTCAAAAGCTGGGACAAGATTTTCTCATTTAACTCAATCATCAAAACTAACTAAAAACCAATTGAAAAATTTTGTTACTTTTTTTACAATCAAAACACTCTAAAAACCACCTTAAAAATTGTTTTACAGTTGTTTTCTTTTGTTTTCTTTTCTCTCAGCCGTTGAAAATACATGAATTGTGCTGAAAAAAAAAGAATTAGGCCTCATTTGTGACCTTTCTGGGACGGGTCTTGGCCGGGCTGGCTCGCGAGGCGCTCACGGGCCTCACCCCTTTTTTGAGCGATTTGGGCTTGGCCCGGCCCGGCCCGCTGAATTGCGGGCCGGGTGCAGGTCTTACTCGCACCTCTCCCTCTTGAAAACCAAAACGGTTACACCGCGGGTCAGTCTCGGCCGCCTGTGGGGTCCGATTTTATATTTTTATATTCTTTTTAAGGTGTAGTTCTGCTTAAATGCATATTACACTAACTGAGCAGGTATTAAAATACAAGGACTATTACACTAGAACAGCAGTCATCTAGTCGGAAACAAGTGTTAGAAGTGTCTGTTGATTTATGGGATACAAAGTTAAAACTGGGAAAAAAAGAAAAAGGTCTCTTTTGTTTTTAAATACTGTGTATCTGGGTTTACGCATAGCGGCCACAGAGGCAAGCTTCTTTTATTAGCATGAGTGAAAAAAGCTTGAGTAAATCAGACTGAGATAAGACAACAAAGAACTGAGAAGAAAGACAAGTTCTGAGGGTGGTCCTTATAACTAACAATTAGGGTATACAAAGTAAAAACTGGGAGTTTTTTCCCAGTTTCCCAGTTTCCCAGTTCAAGTTGAGAAACTGGGAAACTGGGAAAAACCCAAGAGCTCCAGATTTTGGGCTCCACGTCCTCACAACTTTGCCCCAGCCCCACAACATCACATCAACCCATCCTAACACATCAACCCATCCTATTCAGGCCCTTCACTCACAACTATACCCAGCTGCATGCAACTCGGTCAAAAGCGACCTTATCCATCAATTGCATCTGAGCACAAACTCATATTCAGAGACCAATTCTCTTCACAAAAAATGATGCAGAAGGAAGATATGGATTGTAAGATGGGAAAATGGTCAGTTTGTCACAATCAGGACAAACTAATGTACCTCTATACTGTCTTTGAAAGACATCTACAATCAATATACCATTCTGTCTGCTTTAGAATATCCTACAAGTTTCAGCCAATGTAAAAAATTCTAAATCACCATCACCATCTTTAATATCAGAGATCTCATCAAAAGGTTTCTTAATAAACAAAAACATTTAAATTTCTTGTGAATCTTGTTGACCATAACCTAAAAAAAATTGAACCTTCCATCCATAAATTCGAATTATCTGGGTGCAATAGATGAATGAGGTGCTCAAGTCCGTATATTTTTAAATAGTTGTCCAAATGCTTCAGCTACTATCTCTCCAATTTGCTATTGATTCACTTGGGTTTATTCATATTTAAAAGTGTTCTGTTTACCATCAACAGATAGACAAGTAAATGCAATAGAAAGGTAGGAAAGGAAAAAACATCAAGACCTACAACATGTTTTACCTAGATTAACACTGCCAGCATTAAGCATGTTCCTTGGTGGGAATATGACCTAAGCTGGGAACACGATTGAGATTATATTGCGTCATCAAATCTTCTTGCACTGCATATCTGAGCCATAAAGCTTATGCTACATATGTGCAAACATTTAAGTAAGGCCTGAGCTATCAGCTACATACAGGTCCACTCAGTTTCTGCTAGGGCTCTGACCCGGCCCTGGCCCCGCCCGGCCCGACTGTGCCCGCTGGTTTTCTGGAAGCAGACAGTACGCGCCCTGACACACCAAAACCTACTTGATAAGGGTCATAAAAGCCCTGTGAGCACCCGGGCGGGCCGGTCTGCCCCGGTGCCCGTCATTTTTTTGCTGAATAATCTAAAAAATTGCCTTTGAGTTGGGTCCCATGGCTCTCTTCAAGGTCTGAGTAGGCTAATATAAGGTTTATGTACAATTTTATACACCTGGATGTGCAACAAACACCAGAAATCCCCCCCTATGGCCCCTTTTACCTCTTAAAATCAATTCAGGGTGTGCCCTGGCTGGCCCTGAGTGTTTTCTGGATCCCCTCGGGTCTGCCCAAGGCCGGGCAATACCCCGGGGACGCCCTGTCACCCTCAGGGCCAGGTCACAGCTCTAGTTTCTGCTCATTTAGATATGCAAATCACATGTAATACCTTCTGTAACTTTGTTCAGATTGAGACATGCATTTCGAAAGATTGACTACATATATCACAATGGCCACTCGGGAAATATCCATGGAGCTGTGTAACAGTAGCAGAAGGGGAATATGGTCCCTAGGACCCATATTCCCGCCAAGGAACGTACTTAATGCTGGCGTGTAATGAGTCCTGTCAAACCTTGAACCATACCTGGTTTGAGAACTCGGCTTTGATCATTAGTACCACCTAACCCTGCAGCTCTTTTCAATTGAGAGTGAGCCAAAGCATCATATCCTGGAAATCAAATAGTGGTGGTTGGACCTTCTTTAAATTTAAGATTGAATCCATTGATATCCTTCATTTGATCTGTTAGATCTAAGCAGGGCTTGCCAGAAAATACTGAAACCGGGGTTTGTTAATCTGAAACTCCCTGACTGGTTTGAGATTGATCGGACTCATTGCATAACCAATCACCATCATATGTTTGTTGTTCAATGACTCAATAAATTCCTAGAGCAGTTCAGAGAGCTTCATTCCAATTGATTTGATCTGATTCAGTTTTAATTGGTTTGGGTAAACCACCCTGGGAAATCTTGAAGGTTGACAGTTAAGATTGATTGCTGGTAAGGGGCATTAGAATCGGGTCAAATAGAGTGAGTTGTGAGTTGAGCAAGAGTGAGAAACATATGTTGAGATAAGATCAACTTACGAGTGCATGGCCCAAGGGGGGTCAGGGTTTTAAAGGGTTTAAACCAGGTTTTGCCCAAATTTTGTCCAGTTTTGGGCAAACTGGGTTTGCTCTTAACTTGTATGATCTTTACATGGAGTTCATCAATTAAATTTGATGTTGAGAATGGTTGGATTAATGCAATGGAAGAAAATTTTGAGGTTTGTGAAATCAGTCAGAACAGATGATTCAACACTACCCAATTTTTGTCTTGAGAAAAAAGTTTAAATAATCAAGGAAAGAAGGAATGTAATATTATTAAAAGAAGATTTAAATGTTGGAGATGAATTAGAAAATAAGATTGGTTTCTATGTATGCTTATTGAGTATTTTCTTTTGTCAAGTTTGGAAGAGTTCATCAACTTTTTGAATTCTGATCATGTTGCATTTCTCTTTGATTTTGTAATTAAGCAGTTTTTATACATAGTATATACCTGATTTGAAGAGGAAGAAGAATATCCAGGGTGCGTTTCCTTGACCACATTATGGTCAGAATGCAAATTCTGTAGATTTTTAATTGCAAAAATGAATCTAACTCCACTACACTCTAATTTTTGTAGAACACAAATTTTCAAAATTTTGTTGGATCCATACAAGAAAACAAAATTCAAATGTTTGGCAAATCATTTGGCAAAGATGCTACAGTCAAACCTGCACAAATGCATAATTTGGGTGGAAGACTTTTGGTATGCATCTTGATGGGTTATGCAATTCTGTTGTCGAATTTGGCAGTAAAAAGCAACAAGATTCAGAATTTCTCATATGCATTATTGCAGGTTATGCACCTGTGTGTGTATGCATTTGCGTGGGTTTGTGTATTAAACTTCTATCTTCATAAAATATTATAGATACAGCTATTCCAGGAATTGATGTCATATTGTGTATACACTGCAGACATTATTCGGGTTCCCCAAGTGGGCTGGGAAAAATGATTGGGAGCATGATTTGTCATAAAATGGTCTATCACTCCACACCTGAGCCATAACACCCACACTACATATGTGTAGCAGGCTCAGTGAATATGTGGTTATCATGTACATACAGTTCTGCTCAGTTATCTGCTCATCAGGACAAGTTATTCATATGTAATACATGCTGTAACTTCTTTCAGATTGAAAAAAGCTTCCAAAAGATTGACTACATACACTGACTCAATGTTTTGGTGTGATCTCATCAACTCAACTGCATGTAACACACTTTCTGTTACTAAGACATAGCTTCAACAATATTGCCTGAGCAGCTACAGAATTATATGTAGTGAATTTTTGGGAAAAAAAATTCAAAGTCGAAAAAGTTACATGTGGTATAACATGTGATTTATTTATTCTGATGGGCAAAAAACTGAGCAGACCTGTATGTACATGATAGACAACTATTGACTTAGCTTGCTGCACATATGTAGTGTGGGTGAAATGGCCCAGGTGTGCAGTATTAGATTCTTTTATGAAAAACTGTACTATTAATCATTTTCCTCTGCCAAATTGGGGAAGTTGAATGATGTTTACAGTGATAGATGAAGTTTGGGCTGTTTTAAAAGGAATACCTGAGTGCTTGAGGTAATCAAAAAAAACCAAGATTTTTTTTATATGATTATGGTGTTTGTTCTTTTGCAAAGTTTGGATGAGGTTATCAACTTTTTGCATTCCAATTATTTTGGGGTTTTGTTTGGTTTTGTAATTCAAAAGGTTTATACATACCGTATACCTGAGTTGAAGAAGAACAAGGAGAACAACAAGGAGACAAGAAAGGTATTGAACCAATAAGTTGTAGATGAAAGTCTTGAACATATGTTGGTGAAGTTACAAAAAACAAAGACAGAGAATCTCCATAGTTATTGTTGATTGTGAATGTAACATTTGTTGGCCAAATTGGTTTGGAAAGGCCCTCACCTCACAATCAGTAATGAACAAAGACTGATGGTTTAGCACTTGGTGAGACACTGGTAATATGTATCTACCAAGGCAGGAATGACAGGGGGTCAGGCTGATGTGAGATGTTGATGTGGTGCCCGCCACCCAGTTGTGCTAGTCTGATTCATAAAAAAACTTCTCCTACAAGCATGTCACATCTTTCCACCAACTACTTTCCAGCAACTACTTTCCTATTCAAATGGCTGATTCAAATGATGAACATTTACAGGAAACATTTGAGGGTTATGGCATAGTGTTAAATAATAAACTCAAGCTTGAATCAAGTTTTAACTACCAAATTTGTGAAAATAAAATTAGTGATGTTAGGGTTGCAACTCTGTGCGCTGGAATTTGCTACTCCAGTCAGACCTTGCGCTTTGCCTCCTATCCACTAAAGGACAACTTTTGCCGTCTCTGAAAACATATTTACCTATTCCCTTGTCACATGAAACATATTGCAAGGGTGTGGATGCCATTTGACACCCAGTGTAAAGCCTATCAGTATGCACCTGATAATTACAGGGACTTGGATCCTGTATAAGATATGGGAGGTTATCATTTGCTCCTACTCTTAAGTTTTCTGCAAAACAAATGATGAAATCAGTCACATACAAAGAAGCAAGTGTGGCGCCCACCACCCAAATGTGCTAGTTGAATATACTGAAGAAGTGAGAAAAAGAGATAAATATGTGAGAGAGAATATCTGGGAATTTATTCTGACCTATAAGGTTTGACTTAGGAAAAAAATTCAAGTAGGAACAAATGATATGTTTAGTATCAATACTGATGAAGGGTGTATGAGGTGAATGAGGATAACACAATCAGTATTCAGACTTATGAATTGAAAGAGATACAAGTTAAAATTGTGAGAGATCAGGTACTTACTCTTTTCCCACTGTAGAATAACAGATGAGGGACAAGGGATGCCCATCAAAGGGATGATACCTAAATATAGTATTGCGGTGTTTAGGGTTTTAAGTCCAGGTTCTGACTAAATGATTTGATTTGAGTTACTTAATTATGTTACACTATGTGAATTAATCCTTATGTCTGGGTTGTGTGTGTTCTTGTAATGATTCCTGGATAGCTGAAACACACATAGATGTAGAGTTTCTCAACAAACCTTTCCAATGAGTCTCTGTGAAATATTTTCCTGACCCTCTACAGAACCCTACACAAGTGGAGAGTGTCTCACAGCCTGCGCGGTGGAGATGGTCCCACAATGTTGCAGATAAGGTTGCGTAGGAATTCATTGAAAAATGATATGCATAATCCGTCTATCTTGATGACGCAATGTCCTTTTCCCATTTTATTTGAGACCTGATACCCTTGATCACAGACAAGGCACCCAGTACATATGCTGAAGTGTTCTGTTTTTTTTAGCGGCAGTGATGGCTTTTATCTGACGAATCCACTGACAACAACACTTTTGATGTAAATCAAAGGTGACAACACCAAACACTGATTCATGAGTCAAGCAAACAGAGTTTGTGTTTCAGCCTGTGCGGCGGGGATGGCCCTGCAGTACCACAGATAAGTTTGCCATGCTTGTTACGCAACCATCAGCCTTATCACAGTTGAAATCTTAATCTTCCCACAACAAAATGTGAAGCAAGTGGAGACCAAACATTCAGAGAACCTTTTCAACCAAGACCACAATCAGCTTCTCCACAAGACTGTTATCATGTTGTAAGGAAGCATGATACAACTCTGCAGAAGGTGGTGTAAGGGAATACAGAATTATGCTCTATGTTGCAATGGTTGGGGCAAGTCAGAAAAACAGCAACTCAGGTGGTCTTAAACAAATATAAAAGGTGGACTAATTTGCTGATTATTTTTTCCTTATCCACTCATCCTACTGGGTTGTTTGCCTCACCTGAACGCTTGCCTGAGTATGTTTCCCACCATTAGAATGTTCTCTAAAGACATGAACCAAGCTCATACTTTATGGTCCCTCCCTTGATCCTTTTGATTGGCCTAGAGACTATTAGTCTTCAACTGACCCCAGCCCACACACAAGCTTTCAAATTACTTTGTGGCTTTAGCATTCCGGTAAGTCTTGTGGTATTCAACTAAATCTTCTTTGCAATTCTCTGAATGTAAAACTTGGTCTACCAATTAGATATCATCATGAAAGTCAGCGTTTCCGCAGCCATATTCCTGGCCTTTGTATCTTTTCATCAAGCAAGTGGTTCAATGATTCGCCATGAGAATAGCAAGAAAGAAATCATGTTGCCTGATGGTTCTTTGGTTAACCCAATGAAAACAGCTAGTGCAGAATATGGAGGACCTTGTAGAGATTGTGCAGCGGACCCCTCAGGCACATGTTTTATGCATAGACTACCAGAATAGATGTCTTAGGTTGAGAAATCCATAAAGGGATCAATGGAGGCAAATACATTGACAGGCCTTGTCCGAGGTTTTTGTCCAAGATATTGCTTATGGTGATTCAATTTTGTGACTTATAGGGAGGGTGAAAGTGCATGTAAAACCAATTCATTGTCATTGTTAAATCAGTGAGCATATCTTTGTTAAGAGCAATCACTTTGTCGCCCATTGATTGGGAGGCAGGAGATACATTATTGTTTTGTGGAGTTGTCAAGGGCCAATTTAAACTATCCTGACATCATGCACATCCTTTTCCAAAGCTATAGCGGAGTTATACATAGGCATAAAATTATCTCCAACACCCACTGGATGATGTTACCATCTCCCAAAGTAAATATCACTATGCCAAATTGCAAATTTACCACGCAGTTTAGAAAATTGAGTAGACATAGAAAATTATAGAGAAGCTGGCTGCAAGGGTCAGAAAAATATGGAAAAATAATGGTAGGGCCCTTTGATGCATTCCGATTGTCTGTCATATTTTTTCATATTTTTATAACCACAATGAATATAACACTACACAAAATATAATATCTTCTGGGCAAAAAATATAAAAACCAACACACAAAGATATTCAGCAGGCTGGGAGAGGGACAGAAATACACAAAAATATGCATATTGAACCTATGATTGAGAGCTTTGATTTGCATATTTTTTGTATTTTCAGTGTGAAAATTGTTGATTGTACTAACAAAAAACCTCCAAGATTCTCAGATTACAACCTGTAACAGATATTGGGGGGCATGATTTGAATTCTACAATTCCTCATATCTTTTGAAATTCTGGATCAAAACACTTGATAATTAGTTCATGAAGAAGTCATGGACACATTGGAATGTTATGTTAATGCATCAAATCTGTAGCTCCACTACAAAAAATGTTATTTGTCTTCAAAACAATTTCCTATATAGCCACATAGATATTCTTTGGACTTAGACACATAGTTTCTGTCTCAATGAAAGATATAGTCACAGAGTTTGGCGTCCAATGAACTAAAAATCAAGTGGTTTGACCAAGAATTGACCAAGATATAAGGTATTTTTGAATTCAAATTATGCCCTCCAATATCTGTTACAGGTTGTAATCTGACAATCCTGAAGGTCTTTTGTTAGTAAAATCAACAATTTTCACACTAAAAATACAAAAAATATGCAAATCAAAGCTCTCAACCATAGGAACAATATGCATATTTTTGTGTATTTTTGTCTCTCTCCCAGACTGCTCAATATCTTTGTGCATTGGTTTTTATATTTTCTGCCCAGAAGATATCATATTTTGTGTAGTGTTATACGCATTGTGGTTATAAAAATATGAAAAAATATGACAGACAACCGGAATGCATCAAAGGGCCCCTCCATTTTTTTCATATTTTTCTGACCCTTGCCAGCTTCTCTATAATTTTCTAAACTCCACAGTAAATTTGACACTTGGTGTAGTGTATGGTATGAGTCAGCTTGACCAAATTGCATCCTGCAAGCAATTGTACAGGTGAAATGGTTATTTCTTTCTAGTGAGACTCAAGAAATTGGACCAGTTAATTTGTCAGCCCCGAGCCCTATACCTAGTACCAAAAACCTGACATATAATAATAAAACAACAAAAAAATACAACTCATGGCTCAGTTTCAAGAGCCAATTACATATGTAATTACATATAGTTACATATGAAATTACATATGTACACACATGTAAATCTAAACAAGAGGTTGCACTAAGTAAGAGAGCCTCTCACACGTGCACGTCACATGAGTAACACAAGAGTTACACATGTGCGTAATCAAATGAGAAATTAAATAATTAACATTATAATTACATACAAAAAATGAGTATGTAATGAAACCACAAGTTGTACACAAATGATTTTCAGGGTTTTAAGTATATAAAGGGGTAGGAGAATTTTACACAGGGTGCTTTAACACCGAGTGAATCTGTGTAAACGTAGTCTGTGTAAAATTCAAATTGACCCCAGCCTTTTTAGAATTTTACACAGATTTCAATTTTTTTCCTTCTGTGTAAAAAGTTTCAGTGTAAAGGAGTCAGTGCAAATGTCTTGAACCCGGCCACGATATTTAATTTTACACCAAAGACTTTACACTGAATCAGGCGGTGTAAAGTTCCTTGGTGTAAAAACCTTGTACCCGGGCCAACTTTTAATTTTGCACCAAGTGACTTTACACCGACTGATTTTTGCACCGGCACCCTTTACACCGATTGGGTCAGTGTAAATCAGACGCAGTGTAATATTACCACTTTGGTGGGGATAAATTCAATTTCACACCGAAAACACCGAAAGGGCTTATACACAAAACCAAAAAGGATGGCCTATACCTATCCATTCTCTTTGGGTATGTGTCAGATTTGGTGCACAATAGTGCTTCTACAAGTTACGTGTAGGTGTACTTGCTGACCTGCAGCACAGTGCTGTCCTACCACGTACCTAGGTTACCGCCCTTCAATAAGGTACCAGCAGCCTACATGGTTGTGGTTTGGGGGTGGGCCCTAAAGTAGAGAGAGCTGAGGGATTGGAGCCTTCCAACCCCTTTTTCTCTACCCTCGGGACGAGAACAGAGCCTGAGGAGCCATAGAATTCTCAACCCGGGAGGTGGGTGGGTTTTTGAGAAAAAAGGCTATGAGCTCAAGCAGGGAGAGATCCTTGGGATCTCCAACGTGTGGGATAGGGATGTGAGAAGTGTGGGGTAGAGAGGAAAAACTCTGCGCTTCTCTCTCCACATCTCAATTCACATCTAATTTGTGACAGGTTTGTATCACCTGTCTCTCTCAGTGTGAAACTCTACCCATCCGCACCCGTTGCTCACACTACCCGTGAGTAATGGAATTATGTGTACCGCCGCGCGCTTCAGGGAACACTGCCAATCCATTCTCTTCGGGTATGTGTGAGATTTGGTGCACAATAGTGCTTCTACAAGTTTTGTGTAGGTGTACTTACTGACCTGCAGCACAGTGCTGTCCTACCACGTACCTAGGTTACCGCCCTTCAATAAGGTACCAGCAGCCTACATGGTTGTGGTTTGGGGGTGGGCCCTAAAGTAGAGAGAGCTGAGGGATTGGAGCCTTCCAACCCCTTTTTCTCTACCCTCGGGACAAGAACAGCACCTGAGGAGCGATAGACTTCTCACCCCCGCCACTCACGGGAGGACAGAGCCGCGAGCCTGGGAAGTCAAAACCCCCAAACCTCACCTCTCGTGAGTGTCCTACTCACCAAGCTCCGTCTTCCCTCTCGCCACCCTCAGTGCAACACCTGTTACGCTTGCCAAGACTCCTCGTAGCAGTCTCAGGGGATTCTCTCACCACCGTGGGCTTGACTCATGTCCAACATGTAGTACAGTAAGCCGTCAGGTAGATCACTATTAGATCAGAGTTTCTATTCAAATCATGAGCAATTCAACATGGCACCCAATTCTTAAGCCCGTTTATCAGCCACCTGTAATTGACACAACCTCATACAGACGAGTAAACCTTAAATCACAACTTCAGATCATTTAAAAACTTCACCGTTTCTCTCAACTCTTGATCCTCAAATTTTCTGAGATATATCTTATAAGCGTCCGACGCCCACCTTCCCACATCTTTGATCTGATCTCTTGAAGCTCCAAGGTTCCATTGGAGAGAAGCTCCTCCTATCCGGAACAAGTGCCCGTACAACAATTTTTTCTTTGGTGATCTATTCTCGTTGCAGACTATCCGATAATACTTGATCAGCGCTGCTTTCCTGAAGACTAGCCCCTTCTCATTTCCGCAATTCACCGCAAATATATGGTCATCGTGGCGTCTAGGTCTGAAATCATAAAGTAAACAAAGAGCTCGAACTGGATCCAAGCACGACTTCTTGTCTTGTAGATGGATATATTGGACTTCGCCTGGTCCGGCCGTTTTCGCAAAGTGTATCGCTATTCTAGCGTAAGACCCCTTTGGTCCCCATTCAATGTCCTCCCATGTTGGTAAGAATTTCGCCGGATCATCAGATACTAGTTCTCCTAGACAAGCTACTCCCCAGAAGGCCACCAGGGCAATGGTTGTCCTAACAATTGACTGTTTGTTTTTCATATCCGTTGCGTTTGCTATCTTCACAAGGTCTGATATGAGGACAGGGGGTCGCTTCTTCTCTATTTCATTATAATAGCAAAATGGCGGCGGGCGCTGCTTTAGCGGCTGGTGCTGCCATTTCATTCATAGCCCAAACACATCACAAGCCCAAAAGCATGACAAATCAGGCACAGGTGTCACCCTTGGTGACCTCAACCTGACACAGAATTTTGCAATAGAGAAGTCAAAAAATTGAGATACACAGTGAGATGAATATCTGGACAATACAACACTTACAAAGTGATGAACATAGTGTTGTAAGTATCTTGCGGCTTAATCGATAATTGTTAAGATGGTATTAGGACCTCGTGAGTTGGGGATCAAGGGTCTACAAAAGGGTGTTCTTGAACGTATGATAAGATTGCAACGTGAGGATATAAAATCTCTGACTCGAGACTCTCTAGTAGAGCAAGATCTCACTATAAGCATACAAGCATATTCTACGTATGGGCTCATAACACCACTCCCCCCTTTATGTTCCAACCCCCTCTTGCTGAGTCTAACATCTTCCCTGGATTGGCATTAAAAAACCCCGTAGGGAAAAAGCTTCATCCTCCCTTTACCTTCCGTGTCCTTTTAATTTTGAATTCTCTTGAGGGATACTTGCTATTGAATTCTCTTACAAGCTCTTGAGCATTTTGAAGTCCTGATTCCGGTTCCCATGAATCCTGTTCTGATGTATACCCTTTCCAACTAATTAAATATTCAATTTTACCTCCCCTTCTCCTTTTGTCTAATATTTCTTGAACTTCATATTCTTCTTCATTTTGAATAATTACTGGTGCTGGTGGTGATTGCTTTTGATTTTCAATCTGACTTTCATTAAACTTTCGTAATAAGCACACGTGGAACACAGGATGT